TGAGGAACCCCGGCGAAAACCATATTTTCGGTCATTGAGTAGCTGATAATCATCTAAGTACCGGAGGAGCTGGCTGTTGATTATGGATTCCATAATCTATAGAACAGAGGAGTTATGGCTATAAGCCTATAGTTGGACGAATCAGATCGGTCACCTTTTTTAGGGATCGGGTGCACAAACGCTACCTTTTAGGAGTTCAAGACGACGCCTAGGGGTAAGAGAGACGAAAAAGGCGCGTTTAAACCAGTGCCAACTCCGCAGCACACGTCTTCAACACGATAGGAGAGAGATTGGTAGGATTCCCGCTTTTGGCGGAATGCCGTTTTGCAGGATCTGTCGAGAACCAGGGCTTGGATCTGCCACCGATGGAAATTAATGTAGGAGGAACGAATAGTTCCATGCCCGTAAGTACTATATCAGTGACAGAATCGGCAACGACAGTGGGATCATTCGGCAAGAAACAGACCTGCCTCTATGGGTAGGACGCAAAGAAGGAGCGCATCCCGTCCCAGTCCGCTGACCTATAGTGCCATACGCGGTGGCAGCCTGCAACTCACGGCTGCGGCAAGCACGTGAGTGGCACTGTACTGCGGATTGATGATGATCGGATGATCCGAGGAGCCAAGTGGGGCTTCAACGGCGATTTTGTAACCGTCCGGATCGGAGGTCAGCAGAAAGTCCAACAGTGAAGGCTCATGACTTTCCACATCCCGAACTCGCGTGGGCGTAGATACCAGTTGTGACAAGCCAATGGTAATCGAAATCGTGAACAGATCTCCCCGCGTGACCGGGTTGTGAGCGTTGAAGTCACCAAGTATCACGATCTCCGCGAATGGGATCTGCTGCAGCAGGGAATCTGTAGCTATTTGGACGTGGTCCATCAGTCGGTCAGTTTTGGTGGCACCGCTATGGAGATGGTCGTCGCTTTCTACACGGAGCCACATGATGGTAAGGTCCCATCCTTCAAGATTGCTGAGGCGGCGCGAACTGATATCACCTCTAACGTACACACACACTCCAGCCCTAGCAAACGAAGGAGTGTTCCAGATGATAGCCAGGGTAGGAGAGGTAGGATGTGTCCGATGGAGATGATATCTGCATCTCGGTTAGAAAGAGCAAGGCCGGCTTCACTGACTCGAGGTGGTGGTGGATAAATTCACGTCATCATCATCATCATCATCAGCCTATCGCAGTCCACTGCTGGACATAGGCCTCTCCCATTAAATTCACCTCAAGCGTTGCGAGGGGTGGCCTGATGTGCCTGCTCCCGCCGCGGGTAGATATCCTGTCGAGCGCTGTGCGCCCCCCCCCCCCCCCCCTCCTCCCTCCAAGAATACGCGGGGCAGCCCAGACATCCACGCGCAGACGTATGGTGTTCTCCATGAAGCATGGCTCTCTCTAACCCCGGTCGGAACGAAGTTTCTTACACTTTTTGCTGTACAGTCATTATTATTTATATTATAAAATATCAAGTTAATAGAGTTAAACTGAAAAATAATGAAAAATAAATTTATTATGTTTACAATAAATAATGAAAAATTAAACACTGAATGACGAGCAATTCTTGTATATATATACATGAAATTTACTATATATACATATATATATATATATATATATATATATAAAGTACATATATATTTCATACATTTTATTTCTAGACGATTTGCAAAATAAGAACAAAAAATATTTCAGTGGTTTAGAAACAGGACATCTTTTTGTTTTTGTAATTTGCAATACATTTGCATTTACATTTGCTGATCGCTGTATACGCGGAGTGGCCACATCCCACTGCAGCTTTTACTACTCTCGAATCGAACGAAATATGTTGATTATTGAATTAACCATTTATTTTGTTAAATTCATTAATTTAACTAAACTATTGATCACTCGGAGCAACAACTTGCAATGTTGTACAAATGGCACTACTTAAGATAAGTTTATGCTAAATATCCACACTAATAACTTACTTTTATCATTAACTATATTACTTATATATAAATAACTATATTATTTGTTTTACTTTATTTTATCACTATCTTCAACTTGTACTAAATTCTCCATTGTATTGAAGAAAAGTTAACGATGCGTAAGGCATTTTGAAGCAACTGACAAGTAGTGATTTATTAATTAGTCTTTACACATATATTTGATTGTGAATTCTTGTTTTAGTGAATTTATTTTAGGCGTAAAATTTTGTGAACCTACAAAAATTTACGCCTATAATTTGTACAACGCGTTGTTCATAAAATAGGTATCTAATAATTGTTAAAAAGAAGTTTAGTTATAGAGTACGTATAGGTAATATATGTTTTGAAGAGTATTACGTGTGCGTTATAAATAGGTAGGTATTATTTGAATATTTTTGTAAATAGATAGCGTTAAGTGACGAATTGACGATGGCTAGCATACCGCGAACAAATTCTAGGTAGGTGGTATATGGGCTTATTTCTGTAATAATGTTAAAATGGAGAAAATTAAATAGTAGCCACTTTGATCGCGAAAATCGCTGCGGACATCGGTGAAGTAAATTATAATAATAATAAGTTTTTTTATGTAAAATTAGTAGTGAGTGACATTCAAGTAACGATCATTTTTCATTTGCTCAGTATTAGCATTAGCAATTAACATGCTGAAAAATAAGAATTAGCAATTAATTTGATTATATCCTATTAGCATTAATGCCCAATACTACTAACAAGTCTCGTGGTAAATACAAATACACGTATATATATAAAATATGAAAAAGATGTAAGTCTTGTTATACTTTTTTCGGTCTAGCCCCAATCCGCTCAGAGCATGTTACGCTATTGTAACAATATGAACACTGAAACTAACGTTGATGATATCCTCGGGCCTTATGTTCACCTATGCATGACGCTGACGCATGACAATGCACGTTCACACACAGCTGGCAGGACCGGACAGTACTTAGCAATGGAAAACATCCGTTTATTGCCGTGGCCTGAACAATCACCAGGCCTCAATCTCATCGGTGCTCGGAGGGAACATGCTCTAGAGACGTGTTCTAGAGAACCTGGATGGATAGTCGAGAACCAAACAACTGAAAGACTTGTTAAAATCCCATTGGCAGCACTTGCCGCAAGATCAGATAAAATTCCTATAAATTCAAGGAAAAACCGTTGCCGACAAGTTTTAAACAACAGAGATGGTCACACTTTGTATTAAATTATCAAATAATTAAAAAAATGTCGTTATTTAATTATGTAAAACATGAAAAGTTCAATTTCATTTTAACTATATTTTATACTACGAATGTTACGATACACATGTTGTTAATTATTGTTATCAAATGAACAATTATATGAAGGACTTTATTGCTTTAGTCACTAATGCATCAAAGAATACTTGGTTATTATTTTTAAAAGAAATATAAATATATTACAATAGTAAAAATTGTTCAAAAGTTCAAAACCATACATGTTGTTTAGACTTTTCTGATGTGTGTATTTAAGTTTATTATACCTAGACCCTTTTATAAAATACTTAATGTTTTTCAATTACTTATGGAGTAATTTACTTAATGAGAATTTAAAAAAGTATGTCTTGGTCAAAAGAGTAATTCGGCATTGCTTGTTTTTAAAAAATCATTCAGATATATTTGTTAATGTTAATTTAACATCAATTTTTATGTGATACTTTGTCATCAACTTTATTATGCACTTTAAGTAATAAAGTATTTAAGTAGGTACTTAATAAATATGTAGTTCCTTCAGGTACAAACAGTAAAACAGATGTTAATTCTCTATTTTTGTTCCCAATTCTTTATAACACTGGAAGGAGTTAGGTCGCCTTTTTTACCACTTCAAAAGTTATTATGTGAAAAACTATTAATTTAAAAATTTGCTATTCTGCTGATTTTCTATCTTTTCGGATCTTAATTAAAATACTTCAACCACATGAATAATCCACCGTTTACCCTCTGCTCTTGGCATTAAATTATTATTAAACACAAATTCGCAAATCATTTTATTTTCATTAGACGTAAAATAATAGGTATATTACTTTATAAACTCATAGGTAGGTAAGTAGGTTGTATATCGTGTCGAAATTTGCGAGGCACAACTTGTTAAATTTTTTAACTGTACCCAAACCACCTTAAGATTCATACTTCCATATCCATACTTATATTATAAATTTGAAAGTAAGTTTATTTATTTGTTACGCTTTCACGCCTAAACCACTAAACCGATTTTAAAAATTATTTCACCAATGGAAAGCTACATTATCAGAAAGTAACATATGCTACTTTTTACCGCGATAACCGAGATACACGAGGGCGAAGCCGCAGGCAATAGGCTAGGTTATATATTATGTATATAGATGCCTAGATACATCAAATACATCTATGCATGTATTTTAAATTTCTTACCTTAAAATTATAACAATAGCAGTTAATAGCGGTTCACCCGTTCCTAATTAAAAAGTATGTATATTTAACATAAACGGAAACTATGTTTATTATTCCAATTTTTACCTCGTATAGTATCTGTATAGTATTTACAATACAATTCCTGCATAGAAAACGTAATGAGTATATCGTACACCGGGTGCAACAACGTCATAAGTAAAGCGATAAATCGCGTATTGAACTGTGAATAAGGATAAAATTATGGAACAGTATGGTATCTACATAGTTAACACTATTTATATTGCACATACATATATGAAGATTTTAATATTGTACTTGTTATTGTAGCCTAGCCCTGAGATAAACGCAGGCGCAGCTCGACGTCTCATGGCCGCCACGACGTATGAGCGACCCTCCCCCCTCCATGTGACATGCCCCCACTACCCAGTGCTAGAATCGCACTTTGTTTACCAATTGCCTTACCGCGATTGACGAACCAGTCAGGGCAGTTGGTCCGTCAGTTAATGCGACCTCGCTCGCTCTCGCGAACGTTCATTATTCACAGTCGCGCGTCGCCAGCGACGCACGCGACAATAGTCTCCGCGATATGACCCTGTGACGTGATAGTATGAGTAAAATTGAAGTTTCGACGGAAACCGCCGCGCCCAGCGTGGCAATCCACGTGGAGCAGTATGACGACCAAGACAGGGAGAACATGACGCTCCTTGATCTACACGCTCCGGCGCCGATCATAACGCCCTCTGGGCAAATGCGCAAAGTCAAGAGCTTCAGCGACACACACAAAATTCGTGATGTTACCTCAGCCTCCGGTGCAGCATCCGCGCGATGTCTAAGACCTTACGACCAAGTGACTCCTTACCCTGAAGGTTCCGACAATGGAACTAACAATTATGCTCCATCCGTCCGGTCGCTGGCCTCTATTGGAATGGGATGCACGGATGGCCGCAAAATGGTTATAAGACGGGTACCAACATCGCCCACGGAATTGTTCCATCTAGTTCGTCCTCCTACGTGAGTACCACCGCGGATGATACATCCTCTAAGTTGCTATTATTCAATTGACTTCTATCAAACGTACGTTTCCCCCCATCCTCGTTGCATGTCATGCTGTAACAATGCGTTGCTAATAATTGTCAATGTTGCTCAGTTCACCAAAAACTACCGTTATCCACATGCACTGTATTTTTTTGTTAGCTTTTGACATAACCTCACTAAATAACTATACAGCTTGAAGCAATATTCTTATCATCACGAAAATTTTTATTGAAATAAACGTATTGAGAGTTATAAATGAATAAAGTCATAGCTTAGGAAATAGAAAATCATACACAAAACAAGCAACATACTAGATGATACTATTAGACAGTGATTTAAATGCAAATATTTTTGCACGGTAACTTCATGAAGTTTTAAAGGATTTAATAAGTAACATATTATCCTTCTATGATAAAAAAAACTACTGATCATCAGAATTAGAGAGATGTAAATGAAATGACATCCACCACCCAAACATGGGAAAGAAGAAAGTGGTTGAATGTTGAACAATGTTTGCATTGGCCTGTGACTAATTCATCACAGATGATATCGTAGCGTTGTAGTAGTGTTTAATTTACCTAGAGATTAGCAATGCGAGAATGATAACGTTGATATGAATGTATTTCTAATTATATATTAAATACATATAATTAATTTGTAACATACATTACTAAATAAAAATATTAAAGCCGTTTAGTAATTATCATGTAATTAGCAAGAAATGCAAAAAACATTACAGTTATAACCTATGCAAATTTAAAACTTTTATCACCAGACTCACTTGTTACAAAGTCGATGTTTTGAAAACGAGTGCCCAAACTGTGTGTGTGTGTGTAAATCTAGATAAAAACTGTGTTCAAATAAATATACGAGTATTACAAAATGAAAGTTATATTTTCTACAGCACTTCTAATTTTTTAATTACAAAATTTCCTTCGTGCCGCTGTCAAAACACCTTTATTATGTAAAGCATACTCGTATACCGCATTTATCTACTTACTCCAGGTAATTTATACTTGATAAAATACCAATCTTTCTTTCGACAGTGACGTTCGGTAGAAATAATCTAGACTCTAAACCAAATATATCTTAATCTATATTTTTTTTTTGGACAACATTTCGAGTGTCAAGCAGCACATCACTTTATTAATAGACTTTTATAAAAAGATGAGGTTCTCAATTCGTTAAGAACGGCTGGTCCAAATTGCAAATTTATGTTGGTTTGTTTGAAAGATTTTATTGTTTTTGGTTCAATTGTTATCAGAATTCTTACAAAAATCAATAAATAAAAAAGTCAACATGACAAGCAAAGCAAAATATTTTTTTCTATTTGCGCCAGCCATTAAAAATGGAAAGATATTCTACCTTAAACAAACGCAATGAAATAATATTTAAATCATAAAAATAATAAAAACATTTAACAAACAAGCATTACATACTTTTCAATCATTTTCTTCTTATGACTGTTTTAAGATACAGTAAACAGAGCTAAAAATGTAATACATTTCCGTCAATTTTGAATTGGTAGCATTTTAAAATATTTTTTTAGAAAATAATCTCAAAACAACTAAAATACCAACATGCCAGCCAGCCATAACTTTGACAATATGAGTCATTAAAAAGTTAACGGGGACCTCAATAACATAACGTGTCAGAACGTTTACTCGTATAGCGGGAAAGAGAATTTTATCATATATATTATTATATTAATATGTGTAAACTTAGAATACTAATAGATCTATATTTTGTTAGGTCCATGTTTTAGATGTAAAACCAATGTATGCGTGTCATATCTCACAATGTATCCCTTTCGTGTTTAACTTTTTCGGGTTTGAGATTGTTTTACGAGCAAAATGTTACCATAACCAAACGTTTAACCATTTTCACTTAAATAACCGTGGTCTTTTAAAGAATTTCCCTTAAACATAGAGTAGGACACGCGTAGGAATTATCAGTTATCACCAAGCGTAGTTCATAAGCATTCTGACTCACCTGGCTTTGCCAAGTGACTGATTGTAAAAAGCAGATAGAAAGCGGTGCGGTAGCTCTAACTTTCTCCAGCATCATCATCCTAACGTTAATCCTGATTGTGTCAGTGACATCCGATTCATTCTCCTCCACTTCGCACGGTCTTCGGTATTCCACGTTGTGAGACCATTGGCACGCATATCATCCCTTATAACGTCAAGCCAGCACTTCTTCTTTCTACCACCGGAGGTGACACTCTTGTGACTTATCCACAATGTCACGGACACGAAGGCTACCACGGATGGGAGAGTTCCTCACATCACATCCACCGCAACATATTAATCTCCGTGACATGCAGCTCCTGCTTGTGTCGCGCCAATAATGGCCCCGCCTCGCAGCCATGTAAAATCTTACATTTAGCTTCAGACCGCCGTTTTCAAGCGTCTCCTTCCAATCCTTCACTTGTCGCACCAACCTGCCCCTGTCCATATCCGCCAGCGCGATATCATCAGCGTACATAAGGAACCATAGCGGCTGCTTTTGTGGGTCTGATGCTGTCTGACAGACGTCTAATATAACGCAGAACAGATAAGGACTGAGGACTGATCCTTGTTGAACCAAGCCAACCTTGGTAGCTCTAACTTTCTCCATTGCTCTTAAAAGCTTATTTACGGGTCATCAAAAACTTTTGACTGAATCATTTGAAAAAAAAAAATTATTCATTATTATTTGTAGTTACTAGGACAGGTATTGTTTTCACGCTCTTTTTATTAGCCTATCGTATTAGTTTATATATTTTTTTATTTTTTACATTTCTACTCTACGTCCCGTACTTAGAATAGTAAAATACCATTAAAATAATATCGTGCTCAATTTTTTTCATGCGATCGTAATCTAATAAGGCATACTGAATTCTCTTAAGCTTGAGGTTTTAATTTTTTTTCATTTACAATTGAGCAAAAATATCTATTAATGTAGGTTCATGGGATAAGTCTAATTAGGTTTATGGATTTTCCGATTACGTATCTCGAACGATATTTTCCCTACACTATCACATTCAGAATCCCGTCATAAGTGTGGATATTTAAGACAATCATCAACAGCCTTTAACAGTCCACTGCTGGACATAGGCCTCTCCTTAGAAAGGAGGTTAGTGGATTTAAGACAAGCTTCGATACTATTTTATTGTTATTGTTCAAGGAGTATATAATCTGATAATCGTGTACACGAATGAATAACCTTTTATCGTTAACGGCGTCTATAAATTGGTTTGAGATAAAACTGCTTGACTATATTTCCATTCATCGTACAACGCAGGTCGACTGCAGAGCTCTTTGTTGAGATCAAAATCTCCCAAAGGGAAGCGACTCAAATAAACTCGCACGGTGAGTTCAGTGTTGTTCCCTATTAAACACACGTTGTTAATACGCCATTAGTGGTTAGTGCCTTGACAAAACTCGTATTAAAATAATACACAACACCGATATTATCACGCCAGCATAAAGTTTCACTAACAAATGAATTAGAGATTTTTTAAGCACCTGGTACGAGTACATATCTTGCCAAAATGGTCGAGGTAAAAGAATAGCTATGCTAATAAAAAATCATCTTATGTAATATTTACTATAATTCCTGCACGGATTAGATAAATCAGATAAATCAAAAACTAGGTATACTATAATCTCACCTACACTATTCACTTATTATTCATTCATTCATTCAACCTATATTTTCCTACAAAAAATATAAAAATGCTATATAGATACATATTCGTTGCACGACTGCAGTAATAAAACTGTACACACCTATGAACCTCGATGTTGAGACACAGAACTATTATTTCTCTTTGGGTATGTAATCGTCCTTGTTTTTTACACATGTTATAATTAAAACAATCATTTTTGACTCCAAAAGGAAACAAACTCATTAAAACTCATTTCCTTAAGCAATATGTAGACAGTTTTATGTATGTGTATATTTTTCTGGAACCGATTGAAGAGCGATCTCTATATAATTATAAGGATTAGAATTATGAAGAATGATGATACATAATAAAGTTTCTTGTTTTTGTTAATTATTTTTATAAATTAAAAATTAACAATAAGTTGGTACATTATTAAGGTGCTAATTTTCATTTTCACTAAGGCTTAACAACTTGTTTACTTTTTGGGTGTTAGACGCTAATTCAAGCCAATTACATTATCTTCATTTCATGTTTTAATTGTTATTATCGAATTTGGTATTTTTTATACATATGCAGTTCATTTTTATGCACGTAAACCAACATCAAAGAAACGAATCGAAGAGCGACTCGAATCGTCGATAGCCCACACATCTCCGATCGGCTCGATCCCTTGGCGTTACGTAGAAATGCCCCTTCACTCTGCATTCTCTATCGCATATGGAGAGTGCTCCGAGGAATTGTTCCGACTAATATCAGCCGCAACTTTCCGCCATCATTCCACACTTCAAAATTTTCATCCTCATCATCTGGATAGTTGGCGTTCCACTACTGTGCGCATTTCGAGACACTTTTTGCCCCGCACAACCAATCTGTGGAACGGGTTATCGTCTGCGGTATATACGACCTTCATACCTTCAAGAAAAGAGCGTACTCCTTCCTAAAAGGCCGGCACCGCGTTTGTGACTCCTGAGTTGCAGACGTTAATGGGCGGCGATGGTCACTAACTATCAGGTGACCCGTCTGCTCGTCCTCTAACATAAAAATATAAATTTATAAAATTACTATCACTAAGTTAAATTTAGTAAGTAGTAATTTGTATTTAATAAATAGAGCTTATTTAACGTAATGGCGAGCGAAACCAAACGTATAAATATATATAGGTACACGTATGTGTACGATTTAACATAAATCTTACTTATCATATCATGTAAAATATGTATTTATTTTGGAGTATATTTGAGCCCCAAATATATATATAAAGTCATATCTCTAACAACATAATTATGGCCGGCTTCAGTACGAAGAGATAGAAACCTGTTGTATC